TTGAAATTGCAAGTCTAATTGCTTAGAAAAGTAATAAGTAGACTCTATTATTCATGTCAATGGCATAAATTTGACGGTAACACTTTAGTATAAGGACCAATTCTCACTGTTAACTAGTTGCTTATTAGCATGCCTGTTATTAACATTGTCTGTTTATTAGTACTTATAAAGTACATATTCTGCATGACCATATTCTACATCCTTAATCCTACCCAATACCTAAACTTAACAACTACCTTACTAACTATTAATGAGCAGCAAATTAGGAGTTTACTGAGGCAAAATTCGTAGTTAATGGTTTGTTAATAGTGAGAATTGGACCTTAAAATAAAGTGTGACCAATGTGACATACTTAAACTTCAAATACGACAATATCTCTTTTTGTTTTGTGTGTAGATCTCACCGTGGGACGCGTAGCTAGTGGCCGGCCCGCTCACACTGAACCGGTTCATGTTTAACCGGTGACTGGTGACGTTCTTCTGAGGCTGGAACATGATGATGTGGACTTTGGGGGCAAACATGCAGCCCAGCACCACAAATCCGCTCAGACTGACAGATATACACATGGTTGTTGTTTGGACCTGAGAGAGAGGAAAACCACAATTCATTTCTCACCCTCATTGTCTCTAAGGTGTCTCTCATTCATTCCCATAATCAGAAGCTATTAGTTGTAACTATCAAGAACCCCTCGGTTAATAAAAAGGTAGAGCACGGGGATATAATAACAGTGACATTTAGCAAAGTGCTGCGTAAATAGCATTTGATTAGAAGTAGTTGAACGTCTCCCATTAGCAACATAATTTTCCTCCCTCCAGTTTTAGATCTTCGTGTTGTTCCCCGCGGTCCCCCGTCAAGGCGCACCACTGTGAGTGAACAGATAGGAGGACGGATATAACACTAAACTGAACAGGAATTTTTCAGCCTAGGGGAATCTAGACCTTCACTAACAATCCAACACTGTTCCGCTTAAGGAACAATTTCACAGAGAGCTAAATGAACAGTATGATCTGTTTCAGTTAGACCTTTATCTCATTATGACTTCTCAGTGGGTTTAAATAAGTTCCCCATGCACATACATTCATGTCCAGCTAAAAATACGCAAACCGATAAGCTGTTCTGTTAGTCTTGCTCATATATTCTGCAATGTAATCAGCGTGAGCCATCTTACAAAGCTGTCCTTATTCTGTTGTGTTTTACTTGGTCGGTTCCTAGCGCTGCATGTATTTGCACTCTGGTTTCTGTATCTTTCAACTATCCTGCACTTCTACAGGCATCAGCATTCTGTGCAAACGGTCTTTGAGGGCCGCATCTCTTGAGCAAAGAGCCTCTCTTCGCACTTCATTGACTGCGGTCTAGTAAGACCCGTTTTCGTCCTGCTCACTGCAAGAATTCCTCTTTGCGTCATCAGGCTGTCTACATGGTCCAGTCCCTCTCTTGAGTGGCAATGCTTTTTGGGTACTTCAAGCTGGATTCACTTTTAGTCTTGCTCATATATTCTGCAATGTAATCAGCGTGAGCCATCTTACAAAGCTGTCCTTATTCTGTTGTGTTTTACTTGGTCGGTTCCTAGCGCTGCATGCATTTGCACTCTGGTTTCTGTATCTTTCAACTATCCTGCACTTCTACAGGCATCAGCATTCTGTGCGAACGGTCTTTGAGGGCCGCATCTCTTGAGCAAAGAGCCTCTCTTCGCACTTCATTGACTGCGGTCTAATAAGACCCGTTTTCGTCCTGCTCACTGCAAGAATTCCTCTTTGCGTCATCAGGCTGTCTACATGGTCCAGTCCCTCTCTTGAGTGGCAATGCTTTTTGGGTACTTCAAGCTGGATTCACTCGGTGTGGTGAATGACAAGCTCGGTTATAGAGACTGAATCGCTCTGTGATATATTTGTTGCATCAACGAGCTATTGAGAAGTTGTCTGTTGAGGCTACATGTTTGCTGAAGATTTAAATTTGTCAAGAGATTTCTGTCTGACAGTTCTGCTTACTTGGTGTGATTCCTAATACACGTAACAGCTATCCGAACAGCAGGCATCTTGCGGTCCCACAAGCGCAGATACAAGACAGCGTCGTCTGTTTTGCATGTTAATGGCTTTTTTTCTGGTTCCACTTTTCAGCTCAGAACAGTTTGATTAATTCTCACTAAAGCAGATTCAATCTAGCTGTGTTCAGTTAGCTTCAGGTACTTTCATTTGATTTGAGCAGTATTTCTGCTTATGTCAGACAGGATTGGGTGTAATTCAGTTATGTTAAGAATTGGTTACCTTTAAATTCATGAGCTGGAAATGTAATCGATTTGGAACCCCAAAGGAAGTAAAATTTATTTAGATTTGTACAGTAACAAATATTGTAATTTTTTTGTAAGTAAAAAGTTAAGCAAGATGTCCCCTACCCTCATTGGGGCAGAAGGTCCACAGTGGCAT